AGGGCCCTCTATCATTGGTGCATGAGTGTGTGTGGGGCTGAGAGTGCCGCAACCGGAGTCAGACCATGGGTCAGCAGGCCCAGATGTTCATGCTGCCAGAGACTGGAAAGAGTGTGTGTGGGGTCTGTGAGTAAGTGTGTGATCAGTAGCAACGGGCCTTGCCAGCAATACATCTGCAGCCTTGCTACTGACTGAATCTAGGAACAAGCAGAGGCAGTAGCCTCATCTCTCTCAGGCTGTTGGATCCGGAATGGTAGATTTTCCTCTAACAGAATTCTTAGTTTACCATCTGACAAAATACCTGGGAAGACTGCTGTTCTACCACCTGAGACAAGGAAAAGTCTTTCAAAGACAGGCTAGCTCCCTTCCTTTCTCCTGCATTCAAGTGTAGCAGCAGCACGAGGCCAGAGCAGCACACTGAGTCTGAGACTATTCAAAGGTGAGACCATTCTCACAGCCGGGCTCTACAGTTGCTACAGACACCAGCTTTGCTTTCACCACTACAGTATGACATACTAATGACTTGTCACTTCTCAGGCTGCATAAGTATTCATTTCTTCATGATTATGTTTAAATGGAGTTAGGAGATATTAGAGTCACAAATATGATGTGTATGTTTAATCATACCACTTCACTTTCAAAATAATGTTTTCATGTTAGAGTACTATTAAGCTTTTATTAAAATGACAGCAATATCACTAGGAATCAGATAAGTGCACTTGGTTTTACAACATTTTGATTAGATTAGAGTTAGCACGGCTTCCTATTTACTTGTGCTGATACAGAAAAAAGAAAACTTTAAACCTCTCCCAGAAAGTTACACATCACAGATTCATATTTTATGCTGTTACAGGGACACTAACTAAAATGAAACATTGAATAAGGCACTAAATATAGCAGGCATGGCAACTGAGATGGGAAAATCAATCTCATATTGTAGCTGTCTTCTATTGTAAAAGACTGGTCCAAAATTACTGGATTTGAAACAACATGTTAACTGTGGGACCTCACAGAGACACAGGATTATCTGTGTAGTAATGATTGGAATGTGATTTTTCATTCTCTTCCATTTGTGCCTTTAGCAACAGGTAGGAGAAGAGGATCAGGATTTTCTGAGGCATCACAAGTGACAGGAAAATAGGTGATGGCTTGTCTGGCATGCTTTAGTGAGAAGATAAGGCCTCATTATGAAATAACAAGTGATAAGACAGAAGTATTCACTGTCTCAAGCAACTACTTTTGAAAGATCAAACCTCACAAAGAGCAAGTGTCAAAGTATGTGACTGTAACTATTGACATGTCACATAAAAGGCTTGTGAGAAGGAGAGAGAACTAGGCCAAGAAAAAAATACATGTAGTATCCCAGAAAGAATAGAGTGAAAACGCCTCCAAAAGCTAACAAATCTGTAGCACATACAGCTCTGTCCTCCACACTTAATATTGGGTAGAATGCTGAAAACCATCCCCATCTGACCTTTTATAAAGTGGGATCACTGGAAAGGAAATAAGGAAATTAAGGACTAGATACCTTTGAAAAAATGAAGAAAAATCAGAGCACTAGATACAACACAAACTATAAAACTATCACAACTTTAACTTTCTTTAGAGTGAACCATGCATTTTAAGAAAAACTTTACAGGAGATGGATGACTTTATTTAGGAAATCCTATTTTAAAACCCAAAATATATGTAGGTAAATATATAAAGGTATTTAGACTACACCTATTTTCCCCATAACTCCAACCAACAAAATTGTGCTAACCATTATGTTTGCATTGTGTTGAAGAATCACTCAATGCACCTTCAAACAGTTTCTTTGGAGATCCTGGTCCTGCTTTTAGTTGTGCTGATTTCACACTCAAAGGAAAAGACAGTTACTATACGGTTACATATGTGTGAGCAACAGCATTGTTGTGTCCTAAATTCAAACTCTGTCGGTGTGGAGAAACAGATAAGATCAGTTTAGGTATCTTCAAAAGTGGAAGGAAAGGATGAGATGAGTATTAAAATAAATACAGAGACAGTAAAAAAAGTTCCAGTACTAGGAAAGTATGAAAGTCTGCCATTTCAGAATTGTGAAATACAATAGTGACGAGACAGAGAGAGAGGGTAAGATGAAATGATGGAAAACAGTATTTTGCATCAGATATATGACAACCCAAGATACGTAAGACAATAACACTCAATGCTTTCAATGAAAATTAAGAGCAAGTACATTGAAAATTAAAGGCTTACCTGGGACAGTATGTTAGACTCCTCTCAAATAGCATGAGCTTCAGTGCTTGAAGTGGTAGGCTCTTAACCTATATGTTCCACGAAACCCCAGAAGTACAGCTCTGTTTACCTTTAAAACCATGCACCGGGTCCCTTCTGTTCAGTTAGCAGTGGTGACTGCTTGACCTGAAACTCCTTAAATGATTGGGAATCCCATTTGTCTAGTTACTTTAAAACACTTCTGCTCATTTCAACAGACCCTAGCAGACTCATGTTTGTGGATAACTCCCTCTGCACAAGTAAATGTCAGTGTGCCTGCAGGAGCGGTTACAGTGATACTAGGTCTGCTTCTGCCCAACCATATTTTATTCATGCAAGGGTAAAGTTTTTCACCAATCCCCAGCAGGTTCCCTTCTAGAAAGCAGGACAGCTGACCTGAGTAATTGCAACAGGCAGCAAAAACACAAGGTGTTGGAGGGACTAGAAGTAGGGTTGCTCATTTTCAGCAAAGTACGATAAAAATAAATTAGGAAGATCCAAAGTGCTTTAACTAAATAAATAAATAAATGAAAACCTTCAGGGAAAGACTACTGAAAAATGCAACAGGCTCAACTATTAAAAATGCATGGTAGCAAAATGATTCAAGATGTTTCCATGCTTATGAGGAAACCAACAAAAGCATTGAATTCAGACTATCTTCCCACTGCTCTGATTATAGGATTCTCTTTTCTCTCTTTTTTTTTGAATGTTGCTTTCAATCAGTGCTAGATTTTTATTTCATGAAAACCAGACCATTGCTACTTGCTACTCAAGCTGATTTCCCACCTGAAGACAGACTTCCATAGCTCAGCTCTTAACAGCCAGCTGTTGTCATGAAAAGTTGAAGATGTTAACAAAAACATCAGATTGTTGTCCAGTACTAGAGGAACTGATATGGATCCTCAGATGACACACATCAAGAAGAAGTGTGGTGCAAGTGTTTTAATAGAGTTACAGGTGGCTGAGCAGCAAAAGCACATGAAGTCTCAGGAAGCAAAAGATCCTATTTTTATGGAAATGTCCTCAGCATTACTGGGTAAAATCTGGCAATCTCAGCTACTAGATTGAAGACACTTTTTCCTATTGCACATTCTGTCTTGAAATATAGTGTGAAAACTTCAAAGAGTAAAAGGAATGCAACAAGACCTGTCAAGATTTGTCATACACTGGTTGATCCCACTTGTAGCAGTTTAATCCCACACAACAACTAAGTACCATGCAGCTGCTTGCTTACACCTCTCCTCCCCTCAGTGGGATGAAGAGGAAAATCAGAAAAAGGTAAACCCCATGGATTGAGATAATAGTTTAATAATTTAAATAAAGTAAATGATCATAAACAAGCTCCTGTGGCACATCAGGGCTTGCCCCTTGCAACAGGCTCCTAGGGACCACTTCCCAAGACCGAAAAACTAATTGTTTGCACTTATTGAAAAGCAGGGTCTCAATCAGCTGGCATTGATGAGGAGGGGAATCTGAATCTATTGTCTGATTAGGTGTGTATTTTTTTTTCCTATCTGCAACCACGGATAACCTTTTAAATTCCACAAATACTATACACGTAGGAAAAAAACCCAAAGAAATGCTGTCTGCTGTCTAATGCTACAAATCTATTCTTAGACCCAAACTATGGCAAATCTGTTAAGAAACTGCTTTAGAACAAGATTCTTGGTGCTGCTACAATTGGCTTTACTACTTGAAAGCTCTGTATTTCTTTTGGGAGTGCAACACACTTCTGCTACCTTGGATGCAGCTCAGTGATGAGGGAAAAGGCCACAGCCTCTAGAAAACACATGGACCATCCTTGCTTTTTAATCCCTCGTAGCATTTCCACAGTGATGTTTAGTCTTCCATAAATACTTACACATAAAATGCAATACCGAGGATCTGCCAGTTCAGGAATCTGGTTACAAGTAAGACAAGCCTCAAAGTACACTTTAGAGATAAACAGCTCCATTCTCTGGGAAGTGCTTTTTACTTTGAGGCCTACATCAACTTTGATCAGCTCTTTGAAGTAGAGCAGAAAAGATTTGGCTTGCTCAGTCAGTCTAGAATGGGATATGATTTTCACTATTATTTTTCACAAAGTTTTATAATCCTTCCCCCCTACTTCTATAGATTGAAAGGAATTTTCAGGGACCCAAAGATTCAGATGGAATTTATTATAGAAACCTAGGAGTAGCAAATTATATATATATATATATATATATAAATATAATATACTCAAAATGCAAGATCTAATTTTTCCTTATTCTATACCCAAATAAAATTACTTTGAATAAATATCAGGTTAAGTTGTTGCCATTCTGTGATAAAGTGAGAGTTTGAAGACTGTTTTGTTTTGGTTTGGTTTTAAATATGCATGCTTTTTTGTAGTGGAGAAGTGCATACAGTACCTGTTGTTATTCTTATGTGGTTCTTTAAAAGTTTTCATAAAGACAACAGGTTACCAGTGAAATATAATATCAGCTCATCAGGTTCCGCAGGTGCTCTTCTGCAAAGCTATGAAATAACAGTTCATCCCCTTCTCGGAGAAACCTTATACAAAATTTTCACATACAATCATCTTAAGGTCTTCCCTCCTCCCCCTCCAGCTTCATATCCCACCCAACCTTTCAATTTAAGAAGATTTTTTTTAAAGAAAAGAAAAAGAAAAAGAAAATAAAAACAGCTTATAAAACAGCAAAGAAAATAAAGTTATTTTAATATATATAGAAAGAGAACAAAATGAAACTTGAGGGAAAACTTACTGGCGTTACAGTTTATCCTGATACAGTCTAGATGGGGAAAAATAAATGAAAGATGAAATTGCATCCTTCAAGGTAACAGCTGCAGACATCCAAAAACAATCAGTCCACCCTTCCGGGGACAGACACACGCAAAGAGATGTGGCCATTTTATACTTATATACAGTCTGTACAAGTTCAGGAGTGGGTGTATATGTACGGTATATTCTATGTAAATATCTGTTACATAAATATATATATAGAGACATATATATATACATATGTATAGAGAAATATACCAATATACATATATATCCACATGTTGACACAGAAAGTTCTTGCCTTTTTTATAGAAACCTACACATCTAAGAGTATCTTCCACTCCAGACCATGTACTGATGTGAATTACAATAAAAAAATTTATAATTAAGGCATAAAAATCTCCCTCAAAACACAAGTCATACTCCAGTGTCATTTTGCTTTTTAGAAACCTTTAGCAATTTCTCTAAGAAGCTTGAAGCTCAAAATCAACCTTTACACTTGGTTTCTTTTGAATTAATTCGTATTGTTATTGCATAAATACACCATCTGTCAACACAGAATACCTGTAAAATCAGCCTATGAGATTTGTTGGTGCAATATTTAACCCTTTCCAGCTCTCCCAAAGACAGACCCTCTTCTCATTCCCCCAGTGGCCAGCCCAGAACACTTTTTATGTGCACAGACACATTTGACACTGTCCGCTCAGGTGAGGAAAGGGTTAATATACTGCCCAGTTGTGTCCTATCATAAAATGGCCACTTGCAAACAGCTAACCGCACGAACGCCCAGCCCAGATTTCAGCTAGTTCTGGAGGTTGGCAATACTTTTTTTTGGGCTTGGCAGGGAGAACAGGGATTTCTTCCAAAGGTCCCCAGCCCTGCCAGTTCCTCAGAGCCCAATCTCGTCTTGCTGTCTGAACGCTAAGACTGAATGGAGTGTTTGTAACGTTCAGGGAGAAGATGAAATGGGCAGTGAAGTGGCAGATCTGGGAACCTTTGCTGGCCCTGCTTCATTCAGAGGTTACAGGTAAGGAAGGGATAAAGAGAGGTACATGGAAAGAAAAATAGAGTTATGCTTGTAGAATCTAAGAAATGGTAATTGAAGAGAAAGCAAGCTGAGGTAGGAAGAGCCTGAGCTAGAGGGCTTCTGAGCATTGCTTCTCTCATTTAACACACTAATGCTCAGCATATCTCAGGTTATGATCCAGAAGAGGATCTTTCATTTGTAAATGCCTACTTACTTGTGAACAACCATTGCTGTGGTGTCTAATGTGGGCGAGAGCTATTGTATCAGTGCTATTACATATCTTGGTATGCTGACCTTCTCTCATGAAACCAAGGCCATGAATAATAGCACCATGCTAGTGGGCACTCTATCTGGACAAGTAATGCTTTAACCAGCAGAAATGGTCATATTTATTAAAGAGGTATGGCCCAGAAAGGGAGATTATACAGAATGGCAGAGAAATATAATGCATTTTGCTTCTTAACTGGACCAATTTTATGTTTACTTATACAAATGTAGGAAAACTATTTCAGCAGCTGACACTGAATGCAGTTCCTAAAAAATAAAGGAGGGGAAAGAATAAGAGTCTATAAATAATAAATAAAGAGCTGTAATGAGCACTGTAATGATTGGGACACACCACCAATCAGGAGTAACATAGCAGAGAGAGTCTGTTTTCAAGCAGAACTTCTCCTAAGAAAATCTGGGTTTGGTTTTGTGCGATTAGGTTTGTCATGTGTCGTCAACCGCAACAGAAAAGTGGGAGCAAACAGCCCTGGAGCAATTGCTACGATCACCATACAGTGGTGGCTATATCCCTTCGAGGAGTTGGGTGGGGTAAGGGGAGCTCTATAGTACATGCAGGGGAGCTTCCTTCTATGACCTGATGGAGACTGACAGCAAGAGAGACTCCCAAGTCTCATTTCAAGCAAGTGAGGTCAAGAGAGTTGCTACAGCTGGAACAACATGGGAATTTCTTACGGGCTAAAGAGTGTGCTGGAAAGGGAAACATGGCTGGTCCACAGCAACATTCATCCAAGTTAGAGGCTAAAACCATTGCTGTGTTATTGATGTCTGCAGAGAAATTTTGCCTTTTTTTTTTTTTTTTGGCAGCAATACCAAAATGTGCTGGGTCTTACCCACAGGCTCAGTCACTATTCCAGGTGAAAGGATAGATGTTTCAAACTGTAAACCAGTGTAGCCTTTATCCTGACTGCAAGACTTCTATTTCAAATGATTAAAGACCAGGCCACTGAGGCGACTGCCCTGACAACTACAAAGTGCTATTATATCTCCAGAATGTGAGCAGGAAGGCTCTGCAATACCATGCAATCGGGTGCCAGGCAGAAATGCTCAGGTGCACTCCAAAGGAACCAGCTCCTGAACGAGATTTAATGCAGCTGGGTCAGTGGGGATCCTGTATGGCAGGTAAGAGAGTGCATCTGCTTGCACTGCCACACCAGCACTACCATACCCTCCACACCATCATCAAAGAACACGCACGGGGTTTTTGTTCATTTCCTTAATTCCGAGTCTTGCCCAAAGCAACTCAGAAATTTCCCACCATTAATACATAAAGCTGTTCTCTCCCTCTTAAATCAGTTTTTAAAAGGGAGGAAAACACCTATTTTCCTCTAAACTAGTACAGTGGTACAAATCCAAAGCAGAGGAGATTTTTCCTGGCAGTAAGGGTGCAGGTTTACTTCGGTCTTTGTGCCTAAAACAGCAGCATCTGGTTAACTCTGGAATAATTTAAAAAAAAATGCTTGGGATTCCTCCTGCACAGTACTAGGACTTCTGGTAATCATCATCTAGGGCACTCAGCCCTCTTATCAGTTTCCAATGATGAGGTAAGTTTTGAAGAGGAGTATGTCTAAACAGCTGTAAATCCAGTCATCTGTCAGTTCAGCAACTGGATGAGGACAGCAGTGAAGTGAAAACAGTCTGTAACTGCATGGGGAATAGGTAGCTGGGAAGACCTTCTGCAGTTACTTTCATTATTTTTCTGATGTAAACCAGAAACTCCTTCCTTAGTGCTGAGATGGAGCATTTTCCAGAGCATATCACCTGGAAACTGAGTCAAAGACCCTCTCCTTGCAAAAGGTTAAATAGTTCCACTGCAATTAACTAACACTAATTCATTGTTTGAATGGAAGTATCTTTAGTAGCAAACAGAAGTATCTGTGACTTAGGCCTGTGTTTCTTACCATTTATATCTTTGTCTCTGAAAATAGTGATATTTATTTGACATTGCTAAGGCTCCAGGCCATTTTATCCTTGAATCAGGAAAGAAAGTCACCTCTGCTGTGTGAGGACAAAATGTTTGTTCCTTTGGATAAGCAGCCATATGGGGCTATGGAAGGGTACTTTAAGGTAAGAATAGAACAAAAGAGATAATGAGGGCCCAACTGTTTCTAGACTCACTCTAGGTTATCTCCTGTGGGGAAACCAGATAAAGTCCCATGCACACTCTTACCCCATGTTACATTGAGGTTTCTCGCCTCTCTTCTACTTGCACTATTTGTATGGAGAAATTACAAAAATACTTTTCATTTTGGAGGGGCAAAGGTGTCTCTGACACCCTTGAGGATACATCTTAGGAAAAGGTAGGTGAGAGGGATGATTACACTTCCTTACATCAGAGGAAGCAGGAAATATTTATCCTAGTCATCAGTGACCTGAAGATATGCCAGGGCAGGAAGAAAAAAACCTGAAATATTCTTAAATAAAAGTCAGTATAACACTAACCCTCCAACTTATCAGTGGGAGGAAAAATGTGAAGGTGGATTTCCCTATCAGACCAGCCATTTCTTTCTCTTTCTGTACATCATCTAAGCATCAGAAATTATTCCCAAGCATGTTCCAAGCCATGATTTACTTAATTTCTCTCTCTCTCCTTCCACTCCATACCCATTTCTTCAAAGTCCTTCTCAGCAGAAGTGAGATATATATCACATTTGGATTTCTATTCTTCACACAACAAACACTCAAACTACTGAGAGACATGCTGTCAACATGCAGATTTGCAGTGCCTTGGGCACTCACACTGGAAAGGTATGAAACAACTTCCTTGCCCTCTTCCTCAGAGAATTATTCATTACTGCTCTTCCTTTGCCTCCCACCTTCCTCAGCAAGCACCCAGCTGCCCATGCCCACCCATGCCTGCTGGACTATCTCTCTCTCCCCTGTTTGGTTTGGACACTGAGTGTTGAGGGGGTGAGTGGGATATGCCAGCCCCTGCAGGCTGCTCCGTATGCTCTGTTCTCAGGGCTGTTTGCTGTGCGGGCCGCAGGCTTCAGGCCTTTGAAGGGTCGAATACCATCTTTTGATTTACCATGGCTGATGGGGTATGGGAAAGCTTTACAACTGAAATACACAGAAGAGTTTAAAAAAAAAAAAAAAAAGAAGAAAAGAAATAAAAAAACCAACGTAGGAATACCTTAATAAACATATAAATGATAATAAGTAATCAAATGGAATAGATCAAAGAAGAGAAGAGACAGCTCTTAGTAATAGTATTAAATGACTTATAAGAAAACCACGATTAAATAACTCACCACTCAAAACAGCCTTTGTTTACACATATTTGTCTTGGGTTAGATGCTCAGGGGATGCTGACACCGAGCATACTCAGGTGTTCAAAAGTGGTGCTGATGACTGTTTCTCATTGGTAACAGGATTTTGGCAAGGTCAGATAAAGATTTGGTTCTTGTTTGTGACATTTGGGCAATGAATAGTCTCCTTACAGAGTTAGACGTGACTTAGAGTAAACAACTGGAAATGAATGGCTCTGGTAAGGTCATTCCTCCTCAAATTCTGTTTCTTCAGCAGCAAGGTAACTGTGCTGTTTTGATAGAAGGAAAGTCCTGTTTCAAGGAAATTATCTCACAGCTTTATAAATCTGAAGAGAGGAGAGGTGGAGCTCAATCTGAGTTCCAACAGTCTAAACTACCCTTTTGCTGAGTGCTCACTTCTAGGAGAGTGCTCACAGGTTTCCCCTGATGCACCCTGTAGTCAACGTTGGGGAAAAGTCAACCTCCCAAAAGTTTCCAGCTGAAAAGTTAGCAAATCTGACATACACATTGCTTCAGTCCCTGCAACTACACAAAAATAGCCTTCAGTTGACACAGGAGTTTGTTTACAGATTTTGTCCCTGCATTAAACTGTCAACAACACATCTCTTTCCAAATATGTGTAGACCATCTGTCAAATCTTTAGCTACATCTTTTAGATGCCGGACAGTAAGAGTTGAACAGTCCACCTCTAGGTTAGGTGACTGGGGTCTGGCATAACAGACCCCAGTGAGTGGTAGAAGTGACCAGTGCCAACCAGGCAAACAATGTTGACAGGCCCTGAGGCAAAATATTGTCTGCCAGCATGATATAATGAAATCTGGAAAGGAAAGAGTAAACTGTAAAAAAATGATAAGTATTCAGGGTAATCTAAATCTACCCTCCTCGTATTCACATAGGGTCTACCTCTAGGAGGCCCTAAATGTCCAAAATTCCTCTTAGTCTCATTCATTCTTAAGATGAATAAATAACAGAATCAAAAAAGCGGTATCTTCTTCAGGAGAAAAAGTGATAATTTTGTGATGAAGTCTGGCAGTTTTCAAGCTGTAGTACTTATCATGTGGGAGTATCAAAGGTGATAAAAGCAGCTCTTATTAAAATACTAGCACAGCCCTTGCAGGTTGCAAAGAATTCTCTTTTAAGCAAAGAGAGAAACTAAGTCATAAAAGTAAAAGAACTGGCTCTGGGTTACAAGAGGATAGTGTAGAGCTAAGCAGATACTCAGCTCCCCATCACTTCCCCAACAGAAGCAGGCCACTACCAATCTTTCAGTAACTAATTTTATTTTCTGAGAAAAAAATAGCTAGCAATAATTTTCAAGAAAGGAAACAGTGGTGAAAAAATGATCTTATTTTTTCTTTATTATTAGCAGCAACTGATTAGATCAGAAGAAAATGCAGACACACATATAGGTACAAACACGCTCTGGAGCTCTCTTTGCACATGTAAGAATGTTACATTCTTATGAGCTGTTCTCCAGGCATGCCATGTGAATCTATGAAATTTTCCTCCATTTAAAGTTAATATAGGCCGAAATGGCTATCATCAGAGTGCTGTTTCTCTTTATTTGAGAGGTTACTGTCATAGCTGAAGTTCATCTATTCCATTTGTCCTCTAGGCCACTCTGGATAGCACAGCAAGTGCTTTTATATTAGCTAAACACTCAATATTGCTTTACATTTCTTTGGTCAAGCTAAGCAGAGCAAATATGCAATATTTTTTTTTTTACTAAAAATGAAGAGTTTCTATAGACCTTTAGATAGACCTTTCTATAGACCTTGGCTTTTAAGAGATATGAACTTGTTTGATGCATCTTCTTCTCTTACTTTCTTATTCCAAAAGCAAATATTAATGGTCTGGCTTGCAATTTCAAAGCCAAAAAAAAGACACCAGACGAAATTTTAAAAAACAAGCTAGTTCCAGAGGATAACTGCTGGACAACATACTCTACAAAGCTACTACATGGTTTTCTCCTGATAACACTACAGCAGGGCTTTGAAGATGCTGATACCGTTAGGTAAAAAAATGCAGAAGTTTGTTCCAGTGGGGCTTAGAATTTTGAAAAATGACACAAGCTTTCACAGACCATACACACATCTTCATATAGAATACCCTACACATTAGAAGAGTTCTAACATTACACACTGTCATGTTAGTTTTGTCTCTGAGTCAGAACCTCTTCTTAGTTATATTGCTGAATACGCATGAAGTAACAAGTTACATCACTGAAAAGTGAAAGCAAGCTTCAACTCATGTATTTACATTATTTAAAGAGGCTATTTTTCATTCAGTAGAATACTTAAAGACTGTCAAGAAAATGAATTGAGGCTAATCTAATAGCACATTCACTCCCAATTGTTTTTTCATTGTTGTTATTACAGGACTTGTTTCAATTGTCTTTTTTAATTATTTTCTGGGAAAGTGTAACTCTGAGGAGACAGAACAGAATTCTTTGGGATGAGGGAATGCATTTTTATTATTGTTACCTTCTTTTTAATAAAGACACAATAAAAAAAACAAAACAGGTTTTTATACTGATATGTAAAATATGCCAAGCTGTATCAAATGCTGTCAAATTATGTAAAGGGCAGGGGATTCACAGGACTTCTGCTTCCCACCATATCCATTTTGCTTCCTTTCTGTGTTCACCTATGACTGTTTTGAGTGATGCTGGATGAAGGAGGGATGTAACTGATCAAAAGATGGACCAAGCAGCATGTCTCACACAGAGCTCACCAGTCCCAGATCAAGAAAGGAAACTTAAAAACTTTAAGACTTAAAAAACCAACACTGTCCATAACGAAGAACTGACAGCAAATCTTCATGCAGCAATGCAGAAGAGAATTTCTTTCCGCAAGATTATATAATTAGAAGGTCTCAGCAGTTATTTTAGAAATCAATCCAATCCAATCAAACCAACAGAAATTAAATAAAATTATTTTAAAAAACCACTAATCACAAGCCCAAACTAATAATGAAGAGGGCAACAGAAGGCTTTTATACGATACCTAAATTGACCATAAGTTTGACACGGCCTCCGTCGAGCTCCAGGCGCAGAGTGTCAGCAGAGTCTCGTGAGGTGGTTGCCATCAACAGCCCATAAGCACGTTGGGACATGAAACGAAAGGACACATCTTCTGCTTCTGTGTGCATAACCATAGGCATGATGATCTTCATGTACATGCTGCCATCGTAGCTCAGTATAGAGGCCTCTGCAAGGAATCAGCAAACAATTGCAAAAAATGAAAAGAAGTTACACCTCTGTGTGACCGTCACACCTGAAGAACCTTGACATCTATCACAGAGCGCTGTGTCTACAGAAATCATACCACTTGCCACAGAAAGATATGTAACTAGGGAAAAATGCAACAACTGTTTAACTGCATCCAGAAACCCTACATGGCAAGCACGAGCAGAAACAAAGATATGGTGTTCACCACAACTGGAGTCAGCAGTACCCATGGACACATAATGCCCAAGGACAAGCATGATAGCACAGGGCCCTTCTGTGATTATGAGCTAGCAAAGCCTCTGTTTTTCACATCTTCCAAAAAATGCAATCTCCTTCAGTGTTCTGAAGTCCAGCCTTCCACAGGACTAGTTGTAATGACTAGAGTTCTGATTTCTGGTACTCTTACTATTGAGAGAGGAATTTAATTTCATTGCTACCACTTTAAAGAAAAACAACTGTATAAAGTGACTTTCCTAGCAGGTCTTTTCTACATCAGATTTGTTCTGTTTTGTGATTTTATATTTTTCCACTCTTTACTAACATTAGTAAAACATTAGTAGAAAAAAAACATTAGTAGAGCTCTGCTGACACAACTGATACAAATGGAGAAAGGAACAAACCAAACACCACTGCAAGTTTAAGTATCATTCAAACACAAACTTAGGAGATGGAGGCCCAGTGAAAGCCAGGAGGAGGAACAAAAAAAAACCCCAAAACCAAACAACAAAATAGTCAAGAAAGAAATTACATTTTTCTATCATCTCTGAGGATGTCAAAGAAAATGGGAAGTTCAGCTGAGGGAAGGAGTTATAATACTTGGCATTCTCTATTTGTTCAGAGTCTTGCTTGCAGAAAGTGATATTCTCCTCTAAGGAGGGTAGAATTAAAGTCTTGTGACAGAACTGCAGCAAGCACTGCAGCATGGCAATCATTGTTTCAATCCGGGAGTATGCTGAGAAGCATTTTTACCTCCAAAATTTACAAATCTACATAAATATATTAATATATGAATCAGAGCATTCCTTTTCACCACAGCCAACCCCTACCAAAGGCAGGGTTGTAGAGATTGCTCTGTGCAGGGGTTCTACCACAAACCTACATGTAAAAATCCCAGAGGTTTTGAAAAAAATAGACCAGTTAGCTCCCTAAGCACCTGGAAGGATTGCTCCATAAAGCACTTTTACCAGTGTCTCATCCAGCTCAGTTCAGCTAAAGTTTTTTCAAATGATTGACTGGGATTCTCATCACACACACCTGAGAAGGCTAACAGCCCATCTAATTGAAACAATTGCAACAACATGTATTGGAATCCGGATATTCTCTTTATGTTTCACTCCTTTGTCCCATATTTCCCAGCTGATAGGAGCAGAACTTCTAGCAGGAAACAGCAAGCTTGGCAGAGCCAAACCTTACACCTTCTCAATGTTTTAATGTTAGATGCTAGAGTAGGGTAGATGGATGAGAAACTGAGGAACAGCCAAATGTCCATGCTGTAAAAGATCCACAGTTGGCTCCACAATGGCCAGTAACAGAATTGCAATGCAATAAATATGCAAATGAGGTGATAAATAAAGACATAAATATCAATCTGATAAAGTGACATAGGAGATGTTTATATGGTTCAAAAACATTTGGAGGAGATTACTATGGTTGTGCTGGTGCAGTGACCCACCGCACTAACATTCGGTATGCAGAACCTCTCCAGTCACAGGACTTACAAACACATTAGGAAGAAAACATTTCTGGAAGCATCATTAAGATGTCTGTGAACAGCATCCATATTCACCAGTTTTCCTAGCTGCACTCCCCACACACTGTCATGGTCTGTACACAGAAAGCTCTCTATGCACATCACCCACTCAGCCATTACATACACCTTCTGGGTACCAGCTGTCAGTGCTGCCCTGGGGACTCACATCTTCATTCGGCCAAGAAACCTTTCTCAAGGTGGGAGAATAGTTTCTTCTTTTCAAAGTGCAATTCTCTTCCCCCTCACGTCTGCACCTCTTACTTGCCACCCACAACTGCAAGCTGGAACTAAATGTACCGTATATTATACATACATTCAAAGGCAATGCCTATGTACACACAAACCTCCCTTGCTCTCTTTCCTCTCTCTGTGCAGATTGTATTAGAAAATGCAGTCAAGCATGAAATGGCTCTTTTGACGCCTTCAGCTCAGATGTGCCTTGCATGAAACAGTTGCTTGCCCTAGCACATAAATAGCTGAGAGGAGGGATATCAGGACTATGAGTGGGAGTAGCTGACACAAGTGTCCCAGCTCTGCTGCTTTCTTCTCCACACTGCCATGCATTAGGTGCTTTGAAAACATGAGTTTTTCTGTGGACTTCAGAACAAACCAAAAGCATGGTAATAATGACACTCTTCCCTTCAATATGAATTTGTGACCTTCAGCTTCACTGATCCCATTGTCAAATAATTACTGTCCTTAGACAAGAGATCCCAACCCTCAGTATTATACTTATGTAAGGAGGATCTGAAGAACACTCAGAATTGCTGAAGTTGACACAAAAGTCTGGACAGTGTTTTAGCTGACATTCCACAGTAGCCTAAATCATGTATTACTGTCCTTCTCTGGCCAGTCTGCTACAAATAGGGGGCAATGAAACCTCGTAACAACAAGCAGATAAAATTTAATGTTCCATTCTTGTTTGTGCTCCATGCTGACCTCAGCCTGGCCCAGCTCAGCCCAGCTATGCACTTGACATATTTAAAAATAACAAGATTTCATTCTCACTTTGCAAGTCTTCGCTATCTGGAGTATCTGGGAGCCTTTCCAGCACATCTCCTTGCAAGCAGACCATTCTCTCCAGCTACAGAAACACCCCTTCAGAGGAGGGTAGCAGTCATACAAATAAAACCTATGTTCTTATCCTGACAGTCAGTCCTCAAACGTTGAGGAAGGCGTGTTACAGCTGAGCAAAACATACAGCAAATCTGCTCAGGGCTGAATGTAACCTGGCAGCAAGTACATGACCTCAACCTCCCAGGTACCTGTGCTGGAGACTTCTGCCTGAATACAGACATCCACTCCATTGTCCTTAGCCATCCGCAGTAATGGAACTGTAATGCTTTGTTCAGCACCATAAATACAGGCAGCAACACAGTTATCTAAGTTTAAAACACATGCACATTTCTTCCACCCTTCTACTTTTCGGGTTGCTCTTATATTTGGTGTCTCACACAGACATGCACAGGAGCAATATGTGAAACTATGTTTGAGACCCCCACAGATTTGTAGAGACAAAAAGATCATGTGGCATTTATTTCTGATCCCAATGCCAGAAGCTTTGTTGCCTTAGTTTGGAGATGGCAAGTGGAAGAAACCAGGTGTTGGTTCAAAACTGCCCTGACATAATGCCAGAAATCTCTGAAAATCAATATGTTATTAGGAGCGATTAGCTTCCCAGTCTTGTGCTCTCTGACCCTGCCAGTTTTAATTTTACACTTAGCATCCAAAGGAGCAATTCACTGCTGCTTCCCCACAAGGCTCTGCATAAACCTCCTGGGGAGATGGAACAGGTGTATTCTTAGCATACAGAGAGAAAAATATTCAAGACCTCTTCATGCTTTTTCATCCGCTTTCTAACTTCTCTCTTGTATTTATCTCCATTCTTTGCTTCTTTCCTTTCTTCTCTGTTTTATTTTTTCTGTAGTCTCCTGTTCTTCCCTGTGGTCTCTTTCCTCTGCCTTCCAGGCTACAATACCGTGTAATTTCTTCCTGAAATTTTTAGAAGGGTGACAGCGCAAAAAAAACCGAAAAATATTTACCATTCATGAAAGCTGAAGTCACCAGTGACAGCAGTGCAAGGCACATGATCTTTCCTCAGCTATATTTGAGAGACCAAAACGCTCAGACCAAATATTTCCAAGTTCTTGCAAATTCAAACATTCTTAGAATGCCTAAGCTTTGTATCCAAAAACCAGACAACTTTCCTGCAGGCATTACACAGCTCACCTCTTTCCCTCACATATCCACTAGCAGACACATGGCCCTAGACAAAAACAGATTTTCTGAAAACCAAAATTACACTTTAAAACAGAAAACAAACACAAAAGTAATATTAAAAAAAAAAAAAAAGGAAAAAGAAATTCTGATTCCTGTCCAAGTGGATTCCACACAGATGAGTTTTAACAACAGAAGCCTACCAAATAATTTGGGGACCCCAAATGCAATCACTCAGATGGAATCTGACTAGGACCCAGGAGATAATGCTCCTTTTTTGGTGAAAAAGACATGATATGAACTTTAAGTGCTCACAAGCAGTTAGGACCTTGCACGTCATCCAGCAGGATGGGTGCCGGGCCCTTGCTGCCCAGGGCTGTCCTGTCCAACCCACAGAGGTGAGCAGGACAGACCTGCAGGTGGGGGCCAGGTCCAATCAAGAATCCAGGAAACCTCAGGGTGATGACGCAGGTCTGCAGTGAGGCCAGGAAGTCAGTCTGCTGGCCAGCGTTAAGAGCATGTGCTGCAAGTGCCAGGTAGGACCATGGTGATAGGGATGGGACATGAGCCCGGTTTGGTGGCACCCATGGCTGGGCAGGCTGTGAGTACCTGGAGGCTGGCCCTGCCACAGCATCACTGGGGCAGGGGCTGATGGCCACGGGGGCTGCCATGGGATCCTGGGCCATGAGCAAGGTGGGGGAGCCCCAAGGGCCAGACAGGGCCTGTTGGTGCCCTAAGGGTGCTGGTGGTACCATGCTCTGGCACTGCTTCTTGTTGACCCGTAAGAAAAGTCCCTTTTTACCAAATGTGCTATAACACCTTTTGCAACAAATTGAATTTTCCCTGGATGTCTCTCATCTAGATGTCATTAGACTTCACCTTACTCAGCCTGTCAAACAGAAAAGAGCAATTTGGAGGGATGTAAATGCAATTCACTAGCACCAAGAGAGACAACAACAGAGAGCACAAAACCATCTTTAAATAACTGCCTGAAGAGAAACATTACCTTAGAA